CGACAGAGTGAGACTCCGACTCAAAAAAAAAAAAAAGATAAGGAGCATTTTGTCTTACTTCTGTGACAGTGCTTTAGTCTTTGTTTTTCAAAATATTGACTTATTTTGTAACTTTTTATTCTTTGAGTTGATTTTAGACTTAGAGACAAGTTGCATATGTAGTTTTTAAAGTTTCCATATATTTTTCACCTAATTTATCCTCCTAATGTTACTATTTTATGTGGCCATCATACAGTGATCAGAACCTGGAAATTGACATTGGTATTTAGCTTAACCAAACTTCACCTATTTTTTCACTTCTCTTTCTGTTCTAGGATCCTATCTAGAGCCCCATATCGCTTTCATCCTGGGCTCTCTTTTTTTGAGTTGGAGTCTCACTCTGTCGCCCATACTGGAGTGCAGTGGCATGCTCCCAGCCACCGCAGCCTCGACTTGCTGGGCTCCCGTGATCCTTCCGCCTCAGCCTTCTAAGTAGCCGGAATTACAGGCACGCACTACCACGCCTGGCTAATTTTTTATTTACTTTAGAGACGAGGTCTCTCCAAGTTGCCCTGGTGGGTCTCGAACCTGTGAGCTCAGGCAGTCCACTTGCCTTGGCCTCCCAAAGTGTTGGGATTACAGGCTGAGTCACCGAGCCTGGCCCATCCTGGGTTCTCTTAATAGTTCCTCACTCTTTCTTTCGACCACTGAAATATACAAAGCTTTTTCATAAAATCCTTCTTTTTATTTTAATTAAGTTGAGTTCTCACTCATACCCAGGCTGGAGTACAGTGGCACAACCACAGCTCACTGCAGCCTGACCACCTGGGCTAAGGCAATCCTTCTGCCTCGGCCTCCCAAGTAGCTGAGACTACAATTGCATGCCACCATGCCAGTCCCTCCTTCTTTAAAAAAAAAAAAAGTGCCATTCCCTCCTTTAAAAAAAAAAGGCAGAGTCTTCCTGTAACTTTTGAGCTCAAATGATCCTCCTGCCTCTACCACCCAAGTAACTGGAACTACAAGCATGTCCTGCTGCACCTAACTCCCTCAGTCTTTCTTTATGACCTTGACTTGTTAAAGGTTACAGAACAGTTAAGTATGTAGACTGTCCCTCAGTTTGAGTTTATTTCCTCTTTTGGAGCAAGAGTAACAGGGTGATGCTGTCTGCCCTTCTCAGTGCGTCATATTAGGAGGCCCATCATTTTGCTTTGTCTCTTTAATGGTGATGTTAACTTTGACCACTTGGTTGATGGTGTCTGCTAGGCATAAATTTACTTTTGGAGAACCTTTGGGACTATACTGTTTTTCATATTTCTTCCCCATGAATGTTAGCATACATTGACGAATTTTTCTTACAACAATTATTGCTATTGTTTGCCAAATGGTGATTTTCTATTTCCATTATTCCTACTCCATTTATTAACTAAAATTTCTACTATATTGATGAACTATCCTTTCTATTCTATTTATTTAATTACTCATTTATATCAGTATGAATTCATGGATATTTTTACAATATTATTACATTACAATATTATTAGCATTATTTATTTAGTGGCTCAAATTTTACCAGATTGGCTATTAGTTTAGCTCCTTCAAGTTGAATCTGTCGGCAATGCTCCCATCAATTTTTGAACTCTTCCTTCCTTATAGTATCATAACATATTCTAAAAAAAGCTACTTTCCCTCCTTCAGCCCTGGAATTAATTACTTTACTTCTTTGAGAACCCTGAATAGAGTAGTATTTAGAGACAAAGGTCCGGCCATGAAGTGTTCTCATTACTACTGAGATATCAATGCTTCTAGGCATTTTCAATTGTAGAGCTAGCAAATTCATGTCTGTGTATACATACATGTGTACATCTATAAATAAATATATATAAAAATATACATCTCTATAAAAATCATGAGTTCACACAGAGGCTTCTGATTCTAATCCATCATCTCAGGCTTCCTCCTCATCTCCTTATTTGTAGCTTTTTTCTTTTTCAGTGGAACACATGGCTCTGATTATCCACAGCATATCTACTTATTTGCCCAGTCCTAGAAAACGCATAAAATGATTTCAGAATTGCCAACCCATATCCCTGTGCTTAAGAAGAATTTATTAACTACTTTACAATATTTGTGTATAGTTCTGTGTATATATGTAAATGTCTTTAGATTTAAAATACATAGTTAAAATTCTTGTTTTCCAGAGTTGCTTAGATTAGTTTCTTTTTTCCTCACCCTGTTTCAGTATGGTCATATTATTTATACATGGGATTTTTATAGGAAGCACTTTGATAGAATATGTTTACCTAAATTTTTAAAAATGTGATGCTACTTATTCCATTTTTTTTCTCAATCTGGTTCCTGGGAAACGGAGGAGATAATTGGTCCTCACTGGGAAAACCCAGCTGACAGTACAGTTTATTCCCACCGTAAGGACTATGCAGAACTATTCACATTTAGATTACAGATTGTTATTTTGTAATATATTCAAAAGTATTGATCTCAGCTCATAGATAACTGACTTTTTTTTTTTCTTTTTGAGTTGGAGTCTCACTCTGTTGCCCAGACTGGAATGCAGTGGCTGCTCCCGGCCACCGCAGCTTCGACCTACTGGGCTCCGGAGATCCTTCTGCCTCAGCCTTCCTAGTAGCTGGAACTATAGACATGTGCTACCATGCCCGGCTAAATTTTTGATTTATTGTAGAGATGAGGTCTTGCCAAGTTGCCCAGGCGGGTCTCGAACCCATGGGCTAAGGCAATCCACTCACCTCAGCCTCCCAAAGCGCGGGATTACAGGCTGAGCCACCAAGCCCGATAACTGACTTTAAGTGATACAGTAGTATTTAATATTATATATAGTCAGCAGTTTTCATTTTGCCTGGTGGTGCAGTCCACCAAGTAGAAACCATGCAAACTGAGCTTAATGGTCAATAGGGAAAGTTACAGCCTTTACACATTTTTGACAAAATTTTAAAAATTTTCTGTCAGTTATGAAAATATAGGAAAATGAAATGGTAGCAAAATAATATTTACTTTGCATACTGCAACTCAAGACATTAGAAACACTGAGAACTAAAGTTTTTTTTCTTTTTTAATAAAAACCTATTAAGTATAGTTTGATTAGGCTGTTTCTGCCTGCTCTCCTCTCTTGAGAGCATGCTATTCTTTGCTTAATCACGTGGATTTGTCACTGAGATGAGGAAGCCACACAACTTTATGTACTTTGCAGTCTGTGCCTGAACTGAATAGCAGTTGCACAGTGAGCAGTCACCAAAAGACTTTGAAGTTCCATGATTGGTCACTGGTCATGATGACATCTGTTACTGCGTAGTGATCTGTGGACAGAATTACTGGCAGCGAAGTTGTACATGATGCAACTGCTCCAAGCTCATAAGTTACTGAAACTTGCATGTATCTGAACTGTGCAAGGTGAGGCTTGCTTGTGCTATAACTTGGGAAGTGTACAAATGTTTGACAATAATATTTCCCTCATAACATTTGGGAAATTAAACAAATTAAAATCTTATATCTTGTAAAAATAGATGGTGAGACATTTTCTTTCAGTCTCTGGTTATCCATCAAGGGTAATCCAGGTTAATTTTGTTTTTTAGGAGTGGAATTGGGGGCAGGCGGCAGTATTTCTCTGGGTCTGTAGCTCTGGGAACCTTAGTACTAAGTTTGGCTTGAGAAACCTGGGCTTTAGAGTCAGTTTGGCTCGAAGGAAAGACTTTGAATGCTAAATCATGCTTTGTTTCTCCCACAGATTGATATAGAAATCAACGGCAATGCAGTCGACCTTCATATGAAATTGGGTGACAATGGAGAAGCTTTCTTTGTGGAGGAGACTGAAGAGGAATATGTAAGTTGTTGTGGGTCACACCCCACACCCTCCTTACACAGTGTGCTCAGGCGTCTGGTGTGTGTCCCAAACAGGAATGTTCAACAGTGTTTGTGGTTAGTTTACACAGGACTGTTGCTGGCCAGACAAGCTTTAGTTTCAAGTTGAAAAACTAAGCTGTCAAAAAGGAGCTGGAGTTTCAGGGTACAGAGAGCAATGCAGAATACATGTACTTGTTCTTTTTGTAAGGGAAGGCATATCTCTTTCTAACTTTAATGAACTTTCTTATTATTAGTGTCTATTATAGTTTACACCTTGACTTGAATATATTCAGTTCCACCTGGGTAATTAAGACACATCTCTTCTGGCTGTGTACACATGTGACCTTTAGACTTAGAAATCATGTTTACCATTTTGATAGGGTTAGTTAGTACATCCCTAACCTTGAATAATCATGTGATTTAATTTATTATGATCTCAAGAGATTTAAATTAATTGGCCTATATCCATTTATAAATGATTACATGTTTGACTTTCTTCAGCAAGGAGGCAAAATTTGTCATACTCCCCACCCAATACACATACTCTATATATCTACTGATTTGAACAGTGGCGAACTGTTATTGATGGATTTAATGTGGATCTTTTCAAAAAAGTTTTTGACTGTATTATTACATCTTTCTTCATAAATAATGTCTCAAATAGCAAAACTGATAAACATCAAATTATTAAGGATACAGGACTACTTTTTTTGGTTTTAGAGATGAACTTCCTGTTTGGTGTTATATATTCACAAAGAAAAAATACCAAAAAAAATAAAACAAAGCCAAATGAGATTATGTTTATCATTTTTTGGTTTAGAGAAGTCAACAACTTACATACCAGTATGTAAAGTAGTGTTGAGACAGTGTAATTTATGAAGAGGAACCTTTACTAGACTGGTGCTTTTTCTAGTATCTTAATTATTTGTTTTTATATTACCTTCTTTTCCCCTGTTCAAGGATTTTTATTGACATATCGACAAGGCTCCTCTTACCTTTCCAGCAGAGTACTTAATCAGGAAAAACTTTTTGTTTGCTTTGTGTGTGTATATTTATAGTTTGTTTGTTTTGAGTTGGAATCTCACTCTGTCGCTCAGGCTGGAGTACAGTGGCACACTCATGGTCGCCCCAGCATCAATTTGCTGGGCTCTGGCAGTCCTTCTGCTTCAGCCTTCCAAGTAGCCAGAAATATAGGCATGTGCTGCCGTGCCGGGCTAATTTTTTATTGATTGTAGAGACGAGGCCTCACCAAGTTGTCTGGGCTGGTCTTAAATCCACAGTCTCAGGCAATCCACTCACCTCAGCCTCCCAAAGAGCTGGGATTACAGGCTGAGCCACCAAGCCCAACCTTGTTTTTATAATTTTTTAAAAGTTTATTTCATGTTCTGAATATCTGTTTCATACTGTTTTGAGTGTCAACTTTTTAAAAACATAGCAATGCTACAAGAAGTGATAGATAGCAGTCAGAATCAATCTCTTTGTTTTCTTCATTCCCATGGATTCTTCATAATTTTGCCTTTTGATTTTTTTGAGTCTGTTTCTGGTTCTCTCACTAGGTAGAAACCTCTGCACTAGGTAGAAAACCCTACAGACCAGTTGATAGTCCCATCATCTTTCTACTGTATCTGTGGGCCCTCACTAAGACTCACAATTTTTTTTTTTAATTTTAGATTCAGAGGGTACTCATGCATGCTCATTACATGGACATATTGTAGTGGTGGGGATTGGTTCTCAGGTGATTCATTCCCCAGATAGTGAATATTGTGCCCCATAGGTAGTTTCTGAACCCTAACCTCTCTCCTCTTCTCCCCCTCATTGGTGTCCTCAGTGTCTTATTATTTCCAGTTTGTGACCTCTTGGCTCCCACATATGAGTGAGCACATACAGTGTATGGTTTTCTGTTTCTGAGTCAGTTCACTTAGGTTAATGATCTCCAGCTCTATCCATGTTGCTGCAAAAGACATGATTTTGTTCTTTATTATGGCTGCTATATTACCTTGTTTGCATTTACTTGGCCTAAGCAGAATTTTTCCTCTCAGAGTCAGAGGCAAAGAGCAGAATGAAAGATAGTAAATGGCATTTGTCAGAAGAATAAACTGACAAATATATTTCTTAAAATCACTTATAATCTTATAGTTCTTAAAATCACTTATAATCTATAGCACTGATTAAACTTTGTATAAATCAACAGATAGTGTAAGTGAGAGGACTAGTTTCATGGTTTTTTCTGAAAATTCCATTAAAAACTATACTTAGCTTGGAGAATGTCAGCTTTTCAACCTTTTTTCCTCTTCCGTGTATGACCAAATTGAACAACTTTTCTCTAGTATGGCGTAGAAAATTTAATTCATCCAACAAACATTGGAATTACTACTCCGTGCCACATAATATGAACCCCAGAAATTCACAGTTTAGAGGATAAAAATTACCAAAAACCCACCATTTGTTTGCTTTTTGTTTCTCTTAAACTTTTCTCATTTAACTGTATACGTCATCAATATCCCTTTCAGGTCAGTAGTTCTTTATCTCTTTCTTTTTGATAGCTGCACAGTATTCCATAGTATGGATGTACTACAATTTATTTAACCATTTCTTAACTGGTAGACATTCAAATTATTTCCATCCCACAAACATTGCTCTAATAGGACTAGGAAACACCACCAGAAATAAAAATACCTTTCAAGAAATAAACAAAAATCACGAATTAAAAATCCTCTAAGTCAGAGACCACAGCCTCTCATCTGAATGCCTTGGGGACATTCAGAATATCTTATCACAATCTCTGTGTGTTTTACTGGTGAACATAGATCTCTCCTAGTAAATAAAGCTTCAGCTTCAAGGTGTAATATGTTTATCCAAACCAAGTTCAGAAGCTTAATAAAAACAATGATGAAAACCCATATATTTTAAGGACTATTATATAAAAACTTGAGTATTCTAAATTATCTGAGGTTACTTTATGTCTCTTTTATGTACCTTTTATTTCCCCCATTGATAAAAAGGAATGAAACCGATGGTTAAGACATTAACATACTGAATACCAGATTTGGTTATTTATTCAATATTAAATTAGGAATTGAATTACTTCTGCATATTGGACCTTATTGTCTTCTTTTGAATTCCTAAAAGAAGGAATACTGCATTTTAAACCCTAACATTAAGTACTTTATGGTTTAAGAATTCACTGGCATCATTTGCTATAGAGTATTGTCTCTGTACAATTGCCTTTCTTCGTCCTCAGCTAATTTGACAAACATAAGCATTAGCTACTCTACATTCACCGTAGATCCTCACATCACTCACCTGTGCTGCTGTCCTTTGTCTGATGCAGTGTCCTTAATCTCTACCTTCTGCTTTATCCTGTTCTTATTGTTCTCTGAAAGTTATTGACAGAATCCTTTATAACATCTTCTCAGAATGCTGCTGCTGCTTTTATATTTTCTCTGAAAAGAATTTAATTGGCCTCAGCTTTAATTATGGCTTTTAGGTGTTCTGTGCTAACTTGGCCTGTCAGTTCTTCCAAATGTACTCAGTTACATGTACTGAAATGAGACGACTTAACTGTGTCAAAAAGGGCAGAGACCTACTCAGAATAGAGCAGGAAGTTTCTTAGTTCATTTTCTTAGTGCCTTAGTGTGACTGGCTTACTTTTAGGGAATATATGTTTTTTCCTATCACTGTGAAAATTTATATGCTCAAAACATTAACTGTTGTTTTAGTTCACTGTCCAGTTTGTCATGGATAACTTTTCTTTCTCCATGTTCCCTTTAAGGAAAAACTTCCGGCTTACCTTGCCACCTCACCAATTCCTACCGAAGACCAGTTTTTTAAAGATATTGACACCCCTTTGGTGAAATCAGGTGGAGATGAAAGACCAGCTCAAAGTTCAGACATCTCACACATTTTGGAAACAGAAACAGTTTTCACTCCAAGTTCTGTGAAAAAGAAAAAACGAAGGAGAAAGAAATGCAAACAGGACAGTAAGAAGGAAGAACAGGCTGCTTCTCTTGCTACAGAGGACACATATGATGTGGGTGTGAGCTCTGATGACGAAAAGGGAGCTCAGGCAACCAGGTAGGGTTCCCAGTCTGCGAGGGGTTCTTGTGCAGGTACTGGCCATCCACTTACTCTGTAGGTAGAGTTCAGGTAAAGTCAGAAGCTGCCCTGTTTTAATCAATGTGTAGTGTGAGGTTTGTACTTGGGTTTTCCCCTTTACCATTCACTGTGGAATCAAGCAGGAGAGACTGTTTCTTTGTTCCTTTCTGCAATTGCCAGTATTCTGCTATGGTACTACTTTAAGAAAACGCCCAGTGTTTTTCTTCTGTTTTCACACCACAACAACTATCATCAGCACAGAGGAAGACTTCTGTAACCACATGTTGGGAGGTTTTCTTCACCCACCAAGCAGCCAGCACTAGTTGGTGTCTTTTAATTCTGTTCTGGCACTATCTGTCTGGAGATAGCATCAGATCCCACAGATTGAGGGCTCAGTCCCCAAGACTGCCCACTCACTGACACAAGTTGCAAGTCCAGGCCTCTGGAACTTCTGACTGACTGCCTTCAGGTTGAAGTTCTCATAACTCTTTCTTTAGGTTCAATTAATTTGCTGGAGCAGCTCACAGAACTCAGGGAAACCCTTATGTTTACTAGTTTATTATAAAGGCAAAGGATACAGATGAAAAGACACATTAGACAAGGTATAGGGGAATGTGTGTGGAGCTTCCATGCCCTCCCTGGGTGCACCACCCTCCAGAAACCTCTTGGGGTTTTATGGAAGCTTCATGATATCGGCCTTTGTTTTTCCAGGGCATAGGGCAGGACCCTCTCTGAAGAGGATCTAAAGACCCACAGTCAGAAGGGAAGGGAAGATAAGAGTCCTGCCTTGGGGCAGGTGAAAGGAGGGCAGGAGTAAGTCAGAGAGATTCTGTTTCCTGAGGCCTACCCCTGAGGCTTGACACATTCAACATTGTAACAAAAGACTGAAACAAGGACTATGGGAGTTGTGAGCCAAGAACTGTGGATGAAAACACACACACACACACACACACACACACACACACACACACACACACACACACACACACACACCATGGCACCACAGATACTAAAATGACATCCGTAGTAAACTGGTGGTGTATCTCTTTTTGTCCAAGAACTGTGGATGAACACACACACACACACACACACACACACACACACCATGGCACCACAGATACTAAAATGACATCCGCAGTAAACTGGTGGTGTGTCTCTTTTTGTCCAATAAGTTTCAAAAGTCAAGTAAATTGTATGAGGTCTGACAATTAAGTTCACAAACTTATCCTAGAAAAAGTGCTATATACTTCTTTGCTGAATATCACTATGGTCACCTTCGAAGTACTCCCCTTGGGAAGCTATGCGCCGATGCCAGCAGCACCTAGTTTACCTGTCAAAGCAATTTTGGAACTCATTTTCTGAAATGACTATCAAGCTGTTGTGAGAATGCTAGAGTTTGAATTCGAGCAATGAAGAAATATTAAATTTCTGGTTAAACTTGACAAGAATGGAAGTGAAATCAGGCACAAGCTAGTCCAAGTTTATGGGTATAAAACCATGAAGAAAATAGCAGTATAGAAGTGGATTAAATATTTTTCTGAGTAGCATTGATTGATAAAGAAGCATCATTGATGAAGAGAGGTCAGAATGGCCAGTAACAAGCAGAATTGATGAAAACATTGTAAAAATTTGTTAACTTGTATGTCAAAATCATCAGCTGATTGTGAGAAACATAGCAGATCAAATACACATTGATAGAGAAACAGGAAAATCTTAACTGAAAATCTTGGTGCCTGAGCCTGCGGGTTCGAGACCAGCCTGGGCAACTTGGCGAGACCTTGTCTCTGCAATAAATTTAAAAAATAGCCAGTCATGGTGGCACATGCCTGTAGTTCCAGCTACTTGGAAGGCTGAGTCGGAAGGATCACCTGACCTCAACAGGTCGAGGCCGCAGTGGCCATGAGCATGCCACTGCACTCCAACCTGGATGACAGGGTGAGACTCCAACTCAAAAAAAAAAAAAAGAAAAAGAAAAAAAATCTTGGCATGAGAAAGGTATGTGCAAAAGTGGTCCCTCAAGGGAGCTCTTGCATCACAACAATGCACCAACTCACACAGCATTGTCTATGAGGGATAATGTGTTGGAATACCTTCACTGCTCATCTGGTCTGGCCTCCAATGACTTATTTCTTTACTCAAAGATAAAGCAAATATTGAAAGGGAGATATTTTGATGACATTTAGGACATCAAGGGTAATTTTAAAAAATTAAGTATTATAGGTAACATAGTCATTTTTAACACATGAAATTTTTTTCTTCCCATCTTTTTTATTGCTCACTAACTATCATGTCCCTCACTCCTCCCACACTGAATATATTCGACTTTGATTTCAGTTTTGGTAGAATGCAGAGTTCCTCTGCTAGAACTAAACAAAAGATGGAAAACAACAGTGAAAAAGTATGTTAGGCTCTACAGACTAGTGTAGACTATATCTGTAAAATTTTTAAATCCTGAATTGTAAATTTGAGTGGTTTTTTTTTTTTTTTTTTTTTTGGTCAGTATCAATACTAGCTGCGAAGAGTTTAATTATAAATGTTCTAAACTCTACTTTTATATGCCATTGATTCCCAAAGAATATTAAGCTAATGAAATTTCTTTAGAGACTCTTTATGTCCTTTTTCTTCCCTTAAAGGTTATTTATTCTTTCCTTCTCTAAGAGAATGAACTGTGAGAATCTTTCAGTATTCCACTGCTTGATTTTGGGAGTTTTAAAAACATTGTGAACAATTACTTTAAAAGTTTTGTCTTGTATATAGTAAAATGTATAGGTGGGCAAGAAACATATATTCATTTGAGAAAAACGTGAAATACTTACACATCTAAATTTTATTTGGATTAGCGTTGTAATGTTCCCTTCAGTACTTTATTTCTGAAAATATTTTTGCCAACTAAACTTCTTTCAAGATCTACCGAAAAGAACACTGAAGGAATGCTTTTGCCTCCAAAGTTTTGTTGACATACGTCCTTTGTTAACATAATAGAAGAGTTTAGAGCTCCTGAACTGCCTTCAGTTTGGAACTAAAACCTTTCTAAAACACATGCAAAATTCCCTACTCAGTGCACAGGAGTCATTATTCTAAAGAAATTTTGTAAATGGGTGTTGTAAGTCAATGCCTTGCAGAAATACTAGCACATACCATACTTTTCCAGAATGTGTGAAAAGACTGTATCAACAAAATCTCTTCTTGGTATACAGGTTGGGTCCACAAGTACCAGTGGCTGCCAGCCTACCTCTAAGCCTTGGTAAGCAGGCATGTCACAAATTATGTAAACTAGGGGTTGCAGTAGTTTTCAGGAGCCTATGGTTTGCTTTTACTTTAGTTCATGATTGAATTATTGATGCTACTACTTGGAGAAACTCTATACTGAAATTTTCTTAAAATTGAATCTGTTTAATCAGCCAGCAAAAATTAAGACTTAAAAAAATTAACAAAATGTAAACATTTATGAGAGTTCAGGTCATATAAGTGCTGAACTAAAAAAGTAGACAGACTGAATCCATTACAGACAGGGGAATAGTAGCCTCTTCATCATCCAGGGCCTTGATTTCTTAATCTATAAAATAAGAGGATTGAGCTATAGGGTTTGCATGGCTTCTTGTAGCTCAGCATCTAGATTCTAACATTATTTGAGGGTAGGTATTTAGTGTCATTAACAATGTATTAAACAGCATGTTCCAGAATCTGAGAGGAAAAAAAATGTCAACTGCTTTTTCAGGAATTGAGGTTTAGAAATTATGTGGGATTGGGGAATTTTCATCTTTCATATAGATACATGAAAGGTTATTTATTTTCCTCAGTTCCTGCCCTTTAAGAAAGTAATTATGTTTCCAGAGAAGATACATAAAATAGGTTTTTATTTTGTTTTGACAAATGGCATTCTGTTTTCTTTTTGCTTTTTGAAGAATTGTATTGAAGGCAGAATTAAAGTTAATTGAGAGTTTTTAAAGGAAGCAAATGAAAGAGGGAATCATTCTTTAAAGCAGTTTGCTGTTGTACAGCTGGAAGGAGTTCATTTTTGGAATTGGAGGGCTTTAAACTATACAGGACTTTGCTGAAATTGTACCTAGTGAGTCTCTCTCCCTTCTTAAAGATGAACTTTTGGCTTAAATATGAATAGAAGCCTTGTTTGTCCTTTTAGAGGTTGGATGGAGATGTGCGTGTATTTAAAATATTGCACCTAGGCATAAAAAGCCTTTTGAGGGGAAGAGACTTTTCAAACTGGATGGTTTTCTAGCAGTTTTGAGTGCAAATAACAGTGTACCACTGATGGAAATATTTCAGATACCCAACAGTAGTAAAAATGGAGGATCAAAACCAAACCATCAGAAAGGAGTCTCAACTTTTAATCCAATAGAGTAGGCTTGCTTAAAAGGTTCTATCTGGGAGAGACCTGAGAGCCTAGGACTTTGTGCAGACAACATCTGTTTCCCTGGGGCTGCATACTTCATCTCCTGATCAGTAACTGGCTTCTGGAGAACCCTCCATGTTCTTCTGGGGTGAATGCAGACATTCAGGGTAACATGGATCTGACAGGTGCTCCCTGCCTTTCCTTGCCTTCATTTCTGACACAGCATGTAGAGAGAAGTGTTGCTGGGCTCCATTCAGTCTTGTTATGAGGGACATCTTTTATGGGAAGTGTCCTGTGTTCAAATGCCAACTTAGATCATTAGTCACACTGAAGTTCATTGACTAATACTATGCTAAGATTGCCAATAAACATACTACTAACAGAGCTAGTGATCTTTGGTCATGATAGTTGGCAATCCTATTTATCTCTTATATGCTACCCACTAAATTTAAAACTCAACTTTGCCCCTATAATGTATACCACATAAATAATTCAGGCTATTTATTTTAGCTTTTGGTTGTTTTTGTTTCTCACTTTTAAAAGTATAATTTAAATATAGCAATATTCGAAGACATTAAGTGAATCATTTAATGAATTTTGGCAGTTATATACATCCATGCAACCTCTGTTAGCTTTTGAATCGGAATAATGCTGACTTAGAAAATGATTATGGTTTGAAGATGTGATGCTCAGATGCGTCTGTGAAGGCTGAAGTGCCTTGTACACACTAGCTGTGACCCTCAGCATCTGGAGCCCCCAGTCCTGATTGAGAGTAACTGTTTACCTCTTTTGCTCAATGCTTATGTATATGTAAGCACTGCCATGTTTTAACACACATGGAATCAGTGTTCATGCTATTTTCTTCACTCTCTGCTATGTACACTCCCCTGCATTCTCATGTCATGTGCTTAGTTTAAGTTGCTTTGTCATGGTCTGCCTCGCTGGTCCCTGATCCCGGATGTGCCAATTTGCAAATGCTTAACAGGTTTTTAGAAGTCCTATTTTAATAAAGGAATTTTAGGACTGAAGGAAACCTGAACATAAGAAACCTTTTCCATTACTCTAATGGACCTGGACAAATACACCCTATTTTTGTCAGGATATGCCTAGAAAAGACCATCTCACATCTCCCTGAGGTTGTAAATTCTTAATGGTGCCTGATCGTGCTCTTCTTCAGTATTTTACTAAATTTTGTTTACTTTGCTGTTTTCTTCTTGGCTTTACTTTTATATTGCAGTGAAATATGGTCTAAAAATAAAGTATTTTTAATATAAAAATTTGTTAAAAGAAGTTTGTGTAGCTTTTACATTGTTTTTTTTTCAGACCAATGTATGAATGCTAAAGGGTCAAGCTGATGTGTCTTTTTAAATTGCACAAATAAGGACCATTTATAAGCATCTGATTTTCCCATCCTTGAGGGAAAATTTACCTTTTGGTATTCCTTTATTAAGAAATGGAGTATTTTTTCCTAAATGTCTGCCTTTCTCAGGTATGTTTTTCTCCCTTTGAATGAGGTTCTATGCCAGAGTAATCTTCTGGAAGAGAGAAGATTGGTGTTAGGAAAACCTTAAATTAAAAGCCATAGCTATGTGGAAAAATGATTACATGTCAGAGTTAGTAGTAAAGAAGAGTATGTTAAATTAAGATATAAAGGAAGATAAGTAATGTTAAAAAATAATAAACTGCTTTTCTTTCTCTGTTTTTAGTCCAGCAAATTAAATGATAGGGATGTTCTCATTTATATTTAGTATCTGTCCTATTAGAGCATTGATTCTTCTATAAGAAACTCTTAAACTTGTGTAAGATGATACTTTATGCTTTTCAGAGTTTTCCTTTGCACTTTTCCTTATACTTTTTAGAGCTTTACATGCTACACCACATAAAGCTCACATCTACTCTGAAGTATAACAAGTGATAAATTTCTAACTAAAGATTAAAATGCAGGTCCACAGTGGTTCTGAAGAAGATTTTCAAGGTTATATGACAAGTTACTTATATCAACTCTGCAAATTAAAGAAAACCAAAGGGTAAAGTAGTCATTAAAATCTTTTTAGCATTAGTTCAGCCTCCAGTTCAAGGTCTTAAAATGAGTATGCATCTTAACAGCATTTATCATATTTTTGTATCATCTTCCTCACATCTTCACATCATATAGATACTGTCTAAAGAAATAGAAAGTTCTTATAATCCATGAGCGAAACAAAAAAATTAGTCCTGGGTTTCTAAGAGTTTAGGGTATTTTTACATTTTTGAGCCATAGCTCTTATCTTTGGCTAATATTGTATTTTATGAAGTAGAGTGTAGATAGTGGAATGGATAAGTGTTTGTTTAGAATCCAGCTGCTTCCTAGTTTTTTGAGTTTGGACAAGTTACTAAACTTCTCTAATTCCTTGAATACATAATACCTAAAAGGAAATATTACCTCAGATTTGTAGGGATTGAACAAAATATACATAAAGCCTTAGTTTCAGTTACCCATAAGGGATATAAAAAGAAATTTATAATCACATCTCTCTTTTGTTCTTCTATTTGTTCTGTATTTAAATAGTGATTGTAGTATTGTTTGGTGGGCAGTGGTGAATCCCCTCTTTATATTTTCCTTTTGAGAAGTGTTTGTTATTAATCATTTGGCCCTCTTTTTTTTTTTTTTGAGTTGGGGTCTCTTTTACCCAGGCTGGAGTGCAATGGAATCGTAGCTTACTGTAACCTCGAACTCCTGGAGTTCTTTTTGTTTTTACTGTTTATAAAATGTGTCAGCAGATTTGGGGGATACTTTAAAGCTGACAAAAATGTCATTGTTTCTTCCTTTCTTTGGTTTTTCCTTTCACAGAGGATCTTCAAATGCTTCCTTAAAGGAAGAAGATTATAAGGAACCTTTGCTCTACCATTCTGGAGATCACTACCCCTTATCTGATGGAGATTGGTCCCCCTTAGAGAAGTAAGTGTCTTTGAATGTCTCTATTTCTTAAAGGAAAGAGGAAGAATGATATGTTAATTAGCTTTTCTATTATTAGACAGTAGTGATTATTTCCCATTTCTCTCAAATACCAGGAGAACTGAATGTTTACTTTATGTGCCTTTTCTCTCAGTAATTATTTTGTTCCTAAACTTGGTCTGACTTACTCTAACAATGTTGTTCAGTGGTAGATCTATATAATCAGCATAGAATTATGGCTATCTACAGCTCTTATTCTAAGTTCTAATATTTTAGTGTCAACTATTAACTGTAACTGTGAATAACATCATGGAAAAAAATTGTAGTCATGTTGTTAATTCTGCCATCAAATCTTCAGGTACGAGTTATGTTAATATGCCTGGCTTTTTGTGTATTTCCTCTTTTGTAAAATTACCTTTCTCTTTGATTTCTTATGAGAAATATTTAGAGATTTAAACATGCTACACCACATAAAGCTCACATCAAATGAGAAAATATATGTAGTGTTTACTGAGTACCTGGTAAGTCCTCAGTAAATACTAGTTGGTGTTTTTATTATTAAAGAATTAAAGTAGAAAAAATAATTGATGTTCTCTTCAGTAGAGTCTTTATATCTGCAGAATAAAGCTGATATATTCAAACCTAAATTTCTTTTACTCTGTCAAGCTCAGCAAGACTGAAGGTTTTCTGACTTTTAAGTATCATATTTTTTGTTGTGTTTGCAGCACCTATTCCCAGGCAGCAGGTCCTAAGAGTGATTCAGAGCTGGAGGTGAAGCCCACCGAGAGCCTACTCAGATCGGAGTCTCACATGGAGTGGACATGGGGCGGGTTTCCAGAGTCCACCAAGGTACTGGGGAGCGTATTTGCCCATGGAGTGTATCTGATTAGACTTGTGAAGAGTCGGTCTCTCCATTCAGAAGGAGGCAATTTCTGACTGAGCTCTCATAAATATAAGTGGTGGCAGTGCCCTCATGTGGTTATAAAAGTAAATCTAAAGTTAACATCTTTTTTGTAACATTTGCAGTATATATTTGCAACAGCAGTATTGTGTGTTTGTTTCTATTTATTGAATAATGTTAACTGTTCATTAATATTAAGAAATGTGAAATGATTGCTTAAAGAAAACTAAAATTTCCACACTGAAGTTGTAAACCGGAAATTAATTATTGTAGCATTTTTGCCAGCTCATCATGAGAGAAGAAAGAACTGGGAAGATAGATTTCTTGAGGGAGAAAATGTTTGGGTCCTTTGTTGAACTTAACTTAAAAAAATATATACATTTATACTTACCTGGAAGGGGAGATACCATGATCACGAAGGTGGTTTTCCCAGGGTGGGGCTTATCCATTGCACTCCGCATGTGTTGACTCTCTGATTTCCTCAAATGTGGGAAATTCGACTGCATAATTTGTGGTAGTGGGAGACTGCGTTTATACTCTCCCCTAACTTAAAAATACACACACACACGCGTGCACACACACATTTAGTTATATTTGTGATTAATTTAGACTTTTCACTTTGATACTGTTTTAGCGTAACTTTGAAGTAGTCCAAGTAGGGCTAAATTTTCATTTAGTTTCCTTCCTCAGGATGAATATTCTCTACTTCTTAGTATCTGAAAATTGTCTTATTTCATTAGTGTCCTCCAGTGTTTAATTCTTCATAGTAGAACAGTTATAAATATCTCTTTTATAAATTTCATGATATTGAACAAAATAAAATTATTAGTTTTTCCCACTTTATTATGAAATATTACTTTTTCACCCATGCAAAATAATATATTTAATGAATGTGTTAAGTTATAAATAAAATGAACACTTTTACCAGATTAGGGAATACATTATAACAAACATTTTGGAACTAGTTTAATTTTTAAACGATTTAACTTTCTTAGGTCAGCAAAAGAGAGCGGTCCGACCATCATCCTAGGACAGCTACAATTACACCGTCAGAAAATACCCATTTTCGGGTAATTCCCAGTGAGGACAACCTCATAAGTGAAGTTGAGAAGGATGCTTCCATGGAAGACACTGTCTGTACCATAGTCAAACCCAAACCCAGAGCCCTGTGTAAGCAGATGAAAGATGAAACTTCTGCAGCAGAACTTCTCGAACCTCCTCTTGAGAATCCTCAGATTTCATCTATGTTAGATGCAGACCATCTTCCCAACCCATCCTTAATGGAGGTGCCCTCAGAATCCAAACCAGCATCTAAAGTAGACTCACCGTCAAAGAAGAAAGGTAATCATTTGTTAATTTTGGCACCAGGTATTCTGAATTTAGATGGTAAATTATTTCAGTGTTTCAAATATGTGATTGCCACCTTTATTTTTTTTTTGAAGGTAAAACAAAATTTCATATTTCTAAGCCATGGCAGTTTACAAATATTTGAATGTACAAAAATGACATAACTGTGATGAGAAGAGATATATTTCATGTAAATATACCGTGAGTTTAAGTCTTTAAGTGATTTAATCCATGAGCATTTTGAGTTTAGAACGGGGCACTATCCTTTGGTACGACTTGGCGTAAATGCAAGCCACTTTTGTTGGAGGGATGAGGTGTGCCGTCCTTTGCTGTATAAGACCCTGGGTGTTTTAATCATGATCCTGCATAAACACTGCTAGAGGGATTTTTCTCTGATGAATGGTGGGATAATAGATAAACCCTCTCTTTGGATACTGAACAGCTGAGAACCCCCGGGGCAACTAATCAGTACACATGACCAACTCCCCTCTAACAAACTCATTTGGAAACATCGATGGAAATACCTGAAAACATATGCACCCATAAACAATTGGAATTTGTTTATGTGCAGAAAAGTTCATTCAAATTTCCTTTAGCTATAAAAATTAAAGCTCAGTAAGTATTTTATAAAATTTGAAAACATATTAACATAAAGCTAGAAACTTAGTTTGAATGATTTAGTGATCATCTTTAAGAGAGTTTTTGACTAATGTTTGGTCACATTCAAAAAAACTTTTTTTTTAATTTAATAAAATTTTTAATACAGTTTTGTATTTCTCTCTTTTTTTCTTTTTTTTAATCAGTATTTTTTATTATGGTTTTGTGGGGTACAGTTACGGGTTAGGTGTACAATTACGTTTCATTCAGGCACCCTGTTGATAAGAGGTGTTTTCCCAGCCCCAGACAGATATTTACTACCGTTAATCCCATCTCCCTCCCCCCCATAGTTTCCCAGTACTGTCAGTCATTTTCTTATAGTATTACTTTGGATGTTCAAGGTCCATTATATGAGTGAGAACATGTGATATTCTGATCTTTGTTTCTGTGAGAGGTCACTCAGTATTATAGACTCTAGTTCCATCCAGGTTGCTGCGAAATTCATGATTTTGTTCTTTTTTATGGCTGCGTAGTATTCCATCGTGTATATGTACCACATTTTTTTAATCCAGTCCTCTTTTGATGGGCAGCATGGTTGTTTCCAGGTTCTTGCTATTGTGAACAGCGCTGTGATAAACATACGTGTGCAGGTATCTTTTTTATAGAGTGATTTGTGTTCTTCAGGGTATATTCCCAGTAGGGAGATTGCAGGGTCATATGGAAGGTCAATTTTTAGAGCTTTTAGGAATCGCCACACTGCTTTCCACAGAGGTTGCACTAGTTTACACTCCCACCAACAGTGTAGAAGTGTTCCCTTTTCACCACACCCTCTCCGGCAGCTGTTATTTTTTGAGTTGTTGATAATTGCCATTCTGACTGGAGTTAGGTGGTATCTCAGTGTGGTTTTGATTTGCATCTCCCTGATGATTAGTGAGGTTGAGCCTTTCTTCATGTGTTTGTTGGCTTCTCAAATGTCTTCTTTTGTGAAGTGTCTGTTCATATCTTTTGCCCATTTTATAATGGGGTTGTTTGTTTTCTTCTTTTCAGTACGCTTCAGTTCCTTGTAGATCCAGGATGTTAAGCCTTTGTCAGACCTAGAGTTGGCAAAGACTTTTTCCCAGTCTGTAGGCTGTCTCCCTGCTCTCTTGATGGTTTCTTTGGCTTTGCAGAAGCTTGTCAGTTTAATAAGGTCCCATTTGTCTATCTTCTCTCTTAAGTCCTGTGGGTTTCGGGTTTTGTACAGGAATTGGATGCCTGTTCCGATCCATGAGAGTACTTCCTTCCTTTTCTAAGGTTCTTATGGTTTGAGGTTGATTGCCACCTTTATATTTGTGTTCCCTGATTAGAACCTATCAGACACATTATTGTTGTGACTTTCCCACTGGCAAGTCTGGTTGGAGCAGAGCTCTGACTTCTTCACTACTGTCTCCCAACTGTTGTCTCAAGAATTCAGCAGGTTCATCTCAAGAACTCAGTAGGTTCTTGAGACATTTATTGAGAAAATAAATAATGAGTTCTAATCATTCAGTGAGCAAAATTAACCACTTTATTAACTATGCTGGTAAAGTGAAATGAAATTCTAAACAGAAAAATGTCTAAACATAAAAAATTAGAATGGAGAAAAAAATGTTTTCTTTCTCTTGAAGCATCTGCTAGGTTGAGGCCAAACTGAGTACTATTTTGTAGTGATATGGGATAAAAATAAATGTATACTAATTATTAGTATGAGCTCTCTTTCACTAATTATCTCTCTGTCTAAAATAGCCAAAGAGAAAATAAGATCCAACTCAGCTCAACAGTTCTATCTCACTTTTAGAACACAAATTTAATAAATCAGGATAGTCTCACTACTTAAAAAGTATAAAGTTAGCCTTTAATACTTGGTACCGTAAGACATACATACTATCTGAACACTAACCTTGGATCCTGTTTTTACCTCAAATTACCCATCTTCATATATAGCCAAATACTTCACTTTTTGAAAAAATTGTGATACCAAATGTTAGATTATCACAAACCAACTTAATAAATATATAAATGTATATATTTTCAGGATACACTTTTAAAGAATAAGAACATTCTTTGCATAGCCGCAATATCATTGTCATCTAGAAGAACCATATTTGCATTTCCCCAAATGTACCAGTAATATTTTTTTAGTTTTTTTTTTCCCAAACCAGAATCCCATCAGGGTTCACAGGTTGCATTTGTTTGTTGTTTCTTTAATCTTTTTTATTTTAGAACAGCACCCCACCACCATACACATATACTCTTGCTCTCTCTGATACACCCACACACCCTCATACCCTCTCTCTGATATACCCACACACTTTCATACCCTCTCTACATCCATGATAGTGACCTTTTAAAGAACCCAGTCAGTTATCTCATAGATTCCCCATATTCTCCATGTGTCTGGTTGCCACCTTTATATTTGTGTTCCCTGATTAGAACCTATCAGGGTTCTTCAAGGTGACAGCCCTGTATTTTCTTAACTGGAAGTTAGCTCTAGAACAGTACTGCCCAGTAGAAAGGGAATATGAGCCACATTTTGAGTCTTCTCATAACCACTTTTAAAAAGTGGAATTTAGTCATATATTTAGGCCAATAAACCCAAAATATTATTTAATATTGTAATCAATATAAAATTAATAATGAGATATTTTGCATTTTTAAGGGCAAGGGATATACGTTACATGTTTTTAAACATATTTTCCATACCTGCTAGCAGCAGGTTAAGTACTCAGCATGTGGCTGGTGGCCTTTAGTGAGCAGCACAGATCTAGAGACTTGATTAGATTTTTTGTTTGCCTTGAAGATTACCTTATGGAATATGTTGAGTACTTCATATTGTATCTCATGATGACTCACTGTTAGTGATGCTGAATGTGATCAGTGTTTAAGGTGTTATCTGCCAGATCTAGCCATTGTAAATATTTTTTTTCCTATTGTAGTTAGGTAGGTTGATACTTGGGCACAATGTGAGTATCCTGTACCCCAGCAATCTTTCCTTTATCGTTTTAGAGTAAGTAATGGTCTCATTCTCAATGCAGGCAAAATTGCCTCAAGTTTGGTCATACTTTTTCTTACCTATAAATATTTTTTTAAGTCACCATTAAATAGAAGTTATTTAGGGACTAGGATTATTCATGTAACAGCAAATGGAAGAATGAGTGAATCAACAAGTATTCATTTATTGAGTACTGCACTTCTCTTCCATTAATTGGAGTGGGGGCTTGAGAACGAACACAAATGAAAAGGTTAGTTGACACCTTTAACATTGAGACCCTATTCAAATCATGGTCAGTCTTATTATTGGCAAACCTTTGTGGGTTTTGCGGAGTTGTACCTTTTTTTCCCTGTTGTTTTATTTTCTATTTTTTGTAGAGATGTGGTCTCACTATGTTGCATAGACTGATCTCGAACTCCTGATCTCAAGCAATTCTCCTACCTTGGCCTCCCAAAGTGTTGGAATTACAGATGTGAGCCACCATGCCCAGCCAGCAACAGAGTTGTAAATGAAGAATAATGAAATTCTTACTGCTGATTTTTTTCCCCCGTTTTTATTAAAAACAGGTGTTCACAAGAGAAGCCAGCACCAGGGACCTGATGATATTTACCTTGATGACTTAAAGGCTCTAGAACCTGAAGTTGCTGCTCTCTATTTCCCTAAAAGGTAGTGTGTTTCTTGTATTGAAAGATGGACAGCTCTGGAATATTCTAGTTATTTTTAGAACAAAACATTTCATCTGTGGAAAAGGAGCAAGGTGATGGTGTCCTGTAGCTAACTCTGGTTATTGTTTCAGGTTTTAGAAAGTTCAGAAATAGTGCATGTATGGTTTTGATTTAGTGATTTGAAATTAATAAAAAAACTATTTATGAACATATTTTCAATGCAGTGGGCAGAGACCTATTTAAGATTGTTTGATTTCTGGTGAGCAGTTTTTATAGTCATGAATGGAAACTCAACATGCTTAGGAAAATTGTTCAGCATTTGTTTTATTTATTACATGTTTTAAAAGAAATATATCTTTATTTGAAAACGTTTTACAAGGAATACCTTCACTCCTTCAGAGAGTCTGAGATCCCAAGCCTATTTTGAACTCAGACTTAGGTCCAGTGAGGCCCCATCCCAGTGGGCCTAGGTTGTCACACAGCCTCACTACCTGTCCCTCATGATTTTCCCTTTTCATAACTCAGATAGGAACCTCAAATATGATATACTTGGACTGTCTTCCCAAGTTCATTTCTACTTTTAGAGGAATTCCATTATAATACTACTCTATGGTTAAAAAAAAACGAAACTGTTTCTACAGAAAGTATGACTTGCATATACTGAGCAGTAGGCACACATCTAAATGAACTATTGAAAGACATTTTTAATTTGGAATAGAAAGATGGGATTGATATAAAGATACTTAAATTTTTTACACGTATTTTTGGGAGGTTCTTAAAACTCCCTCCTAGTACCCTAACTTTGTCTCATAATATCTATTTCATTTGATGTAATAGTTGGATTTTTTTTTAAGGTGAGAAAACTGTAATGACTTTTTTTTAACAGTAAAACGTTAAAATGAATACTTAAAGCTAACAAGACTGTTTAATGCTTATAAGCATTTGTTTTGTCATGATCCTTATCTTTACCGCTAAATAGGCAATATTTGTAATTATAGCTAAATTTTAATATAAATCATATCACATCACATCACTTTTATGTATTTGGTGACATGTAAAATTATATGGCATCCCCATGTGTTTAAATGTTGTTGGTTGGCGTAACACACTAACTGCTGTAACTGATAAAACTTAAGATCTCATTGGCCTACCACAATAGAAGCTTATTTTTTGCTCATGTGAGAACGTTCATTGTTGGTGTTTGGGTGGAAGCCTTGCCCACAGGGATTCAAGAACACAAATTCCTTCCCATACTACACTATCCTCTTAAGGCCTCAGAATCCAGGGTTTACAGGCAACAGAGAGGGAAACGAGACAGCATCACACAGGGGAGTTCTACCTGGGGAAGGGTACTGCACACCCCTTATGTCCACATCAACAGCTTGATCATGTGTCACGTGACCACATCTAACTGCAGGGAAGCCTCACTGTGTGTCCCGATGAAAGAAGACATGGGTATTGTGAACACATAGCAGTCTTCTGTTTGTATTTTACCCCAGGGCTGGCCGTGCCCTTCTTCCTCATCCAGTATAACCACAAACATTGCTGCTTTGCCGTTTCCATAAAGGAGAACATTCTGTTAATCTAGTTAATCTCAATTTTGTGATGTGAGTGTGCTTTGCTATTAAGAGAAAAAATGTCCAAAAACCTAAATCAAATTTAAAAAGTTGGTTCAAATGCAAAACATAATAGCTTTGAGATTGCTTTCTAGTTAAAACATATCTGTAACTCAGCTGCCACTTACTGCTCAATCTTGAGATTTTTTTAAAAAAAGGATCAGGTAACTTCACTGGAACTCATATATCATTTTTAAGAATCAAGTATCAAGAATACGAGCTTTTCGCCTTTGGGAGGTTGAGGTGAATGGATTGCCTGAGCCCGCGGGTTCGAGACCCGCCTGGGCAGCGAGACCTCATCTCTACAATAAATCAAAAAATCAGCCTGGCGTGGTAGCGCATGCCTGTAATTCCGGCTACTTGGAAGGCTGAGGCGGAATGGATCGCGGGTGCCCAGCAGGTCGAGGCTGCGGTGGCCGGGAACAGCCACTGCATTCCAGTCTGGGTGACAGAGTGAGACTCCAACTCAAAAAAAAAAAGAATACTAGCTTTTCAAATGAAATGTATGAACTTGAAAATTCTAGAGTTACATTTAAAATGTAACATTAAATACCTATTCAGATGATGTAGTATAGTAAACATTCATGACTAAGAGACTTAAGGTGCCCTTCCCTTGTTCTTTTTTTCTCAAGTTTGTGCTTCATTACAAACGGTTTCCTTTCATCATCTGAAACTTGGCTTCTGTGCCTTATCCTTTAGAAAAATGAAAATATTCAATAACTTCATCTTTAGCTCTGGACCTTACTCCTATAAGAACAATTTACTTTCAATTTCTCTCTCAATACTTTTCTTTCTTGATGGGTCTAGCCTCCTAAGAATTTTCTCTTATTTCTGCTTCCTTTTTTTGTGAGGTAATATGTAAACTTAGAAAAGCTTTGTTTTTTTAAAGAATGTAGCCTTGTACTAAAACAATTTTCTACAGGATGTATATAGTGCCACAACTTTTAAAAAAGGAGTTAGGATCAAAGGTTTCCGAACATCAGATTTTTTAAATTGCCCTGTCATTTTCATCATGGACATGTAAATAAATGCTTATAATTTTTACCCCCTGTAATTGAAATCAGAACATTGTAATTGAAATGTTTCCATGATTGTGATTTTGTGACTGTTTACTATGTTCACAGTTAATTCCCCAGTAGCACTATATTAGATTACCTTTAATGTTATTTATGATTCTAAACTCTACTAAAGAAAAGCTGTGTCAGATTATAGGTCCATCTGTTTCTTTTGAGGGACTACGTTATTTGGTTTGTGCCCCCAGAGAACCATTCAATAAGCCAGGAATACAAGAAGTTGTAATAAAGCAGATATTTTTTTCCCTCCCCTGCACACAGTGAGTCGGATCCTGGCTCCAGACAGTGGCCTGAGTCTGACACGCTCTCTGGCTCCCAGTCCCCGCAGTCTGTGGGAAGTACAGCTGCTGATAGTGGCACTGAGTGCCTCTCAGATTCAGCCATGGACTTGCCCGACGTCACCCTCTCCCTTTGTGGGGGCCTCAGTGAGAACGGAGAAATTTCTAAAGGTATGCTGGGCAGTCATGCCCTGTCCTCACTTCTGAGAGCAGCCTGGTCTTCACTTGATTTAAACTCACTGTTTAGCCATTTCATCGTATTTAAATTATTTAGTGATTTTGTGTGGGAACTGCTATCTTTCTATAATGTCAGATGTTTAGACTCTCATTAATTGACTAGACCCTCATTTAAAGTACCACTTATGAGGTGGCTTTGGTGAGGGAGTGTGCCTTAAGGGCTCTGATTTCAAATTAAGAGGTTGGGAGTTCTCAGGCTGCCCTGCTTGCCAAGCAGCCAGGGTGGAATCACACTGCATCCGTTCTCTCATCTGTAAAGTTAATCAAATATATGTGAGACTGGGGCCCAGCTGCCCTCCTGGAAAGCATGGAGCTTTAGGCATGAGTGTAGGGCCCTGAAGTTGTAGAAAATTGATTGTCCACTGAGTAAATGGTCTTTCTGGCCAAAAAAAAAAAAGGATACTTTCTGTGTTAGGCTAGAGAGATGACTCATGAGGGTTTGCTCAGGAGTAAGGGGGGGACTTAGCAGAGATTGTCACGACACCTCTAGGTGGGATTGAGCACCCATATGTCTATGTGTCCTAAATTCTTCTGCCTTTTTGGTTTTACCTTTTTAAACTAAACTCTTCTTAATGTTTTCTTATTTTTGCTAGTGGCCCCTGTTTGATGTTCTTTTCTAAGGAAAGATTTTCTTTTCATTACTAGTGTCATCTTTTGTCTTCTCTCTCCTTCAGAGAAACTGAAGGTATGATGTGGCAGACTGGATGGCCAAATCCTTAGAACCATGTTTTCCTGAAGCTTTTTCTGTTTAAGATTATAGGATGCTCATTATGCCTCATTCTTCTCCATCTCTTTATTATTTGCTTTATATTTTGCAAGTAATTAAGAGTGTGTTATGGCCAGTGGTTTATTCTACAGACACATAGGTCCCATTCCTTTTATAATCCTCATAAACCTTCAATTTAAAAACGTATATTAGAGAAGATGAAAAATATCAAATTTATATAAAATAGAAAAGTTACACATTTGACTGAGAACAATGGCTCATGCCTATGATCCCAGCATTTTGGGAGGTGGAAGCTGGGAGACTGGAGGATTGCTTGAGCCTAGGAATTCGAGACCAACCTTGACAGCAGAGTGAGACCTTGTCTGTATAAAAAATTAGCTGGGTGTAGTGGCGTGTGCTTGTAATTCCAGCTACTTGAGAGGCTAAGGTGCGAGGATTGCCTGAACCCAGGAGGACTGAGGCTTGCATGGTCATGCCACTACACTCTAGCCTAGACAACAGTGAGACCCTGACCCCCCCCACCAAAAAAAAAGAGAAGAAAAGTTGTGCATTTGTTTTAAATATTGATAACTTAGTCCAGTAGAGTTTGTCATTGGAAGAGGTAGAAATGGCAAGTAAAAGTAAATAATACATGCATTACCCAGAGGGACAATCCAAATGAGAGAAACTCCTCTGTTTAGCCTAGATCTACTAGAGCACAGGTTTCAGAACAGGGTACAGAAATTCATGTGAAGTCCTCATTCACTTTGCAAAAACTTGGGATTTATTTCTTGACAGACTCTGGGTTTGTAGTTTTATTCTTTAAGCAACTATAAGATATGTTTTGATGTAATATAACATTCACTTAAAGTTATAAGATCCACGTGAATATTCCCGTTATACAGTTGCCTGCCAGTAAAGTTTCTCCCTTTGGTGAGAATGCGGCTTACAGTTTTCATTACATACATATTATTATATATATAGTATGTGTCTTCCTTTCCTCTCTCTTACTATGTCTGTAATCTGTTTATCCAGAAGTCTTTGACATGTCCCTTTCTCCTATTTATTTATTTGCTTGAACTGGGGGAGGAGTAGTGGCAGAGGAGGAGAATAGAAAAAAAGTGTTCTTTCTTGTCCTGGGGGAAAATGTGTCCGACATTATGGACACATTTGTATATTTAAAAGTTAGTGTTTTTTTAAGTACTTAGTTTAGCCTACAATTTCCACAATGCAGAGTATTGTAATAATCTCATAGGAATTTATGTAATCTCTAACCAAATTGATTATTATTTTACATTGCAGAAAAATTCATGGAGCATATAATTACTTATCATGAATTTGCAGAAAACCCTGGACTTATAGACAATCCTAATCTTGTAATACGGATATATAACCGGTAGGTACTCTTGCTTTTAAATATTCTTGCAGTTTTTTTTTTTTATACAAGTGCTATTTTTAACTACTATAATTTTCTTTGCCATAAGATTTGTCATGTCATGTAAATGAGCCAGTAACTTTGAAATGAAAGTAAAGCCTCAACTTTATTTTTTAATTGAGGTATTAAAATGTTATTATTCTGTTTGGTAGATTTTACTTCTCTTTCTGGAGAAGTTTGGCTTATAGCAGAGATTATTCATGTAACAAAAAATTTAGCTGTTATCTTTTTATTAAAGAGAATAAGCAGTTTTACATATTATTTTCTATTTTTCTCCTCTCTTCCTTCCCATTTCCTCCCCTTCTCTTCCCTGTTGCTCACTTTCACTGTGTAATAGTTTTGCATAATTTTTGTTTCTCACAGTTACTATAACTGGGCTTTGGCTGCTCCCATGATCCTTAGCTTGCAAGTATTCCAGAAGAGTTTGCCTAAGGTAAGACGGTCCAGCATTTGTTGCCTTCTTGGAAGTATCGACAGCATGTGGTACTTAGGAAAATCTGTGTGTGCTTATTTTGAACTGGGTACTATTTAAAGTCTTATTTGAGTTTAATATTTAACATAAAAGATCAAAGAGTTATAAAAATATCTCCTGCCCAAACTGTAGGAAATTAGCTGGACTGCCACTTTTTTTGTCAATTTTATTAGACACGTATCCCAATTTCTGAATGTGTATAAAAACTGAGAGATTTTACTAGTTGTAAGTTAAATATGGAATGGAAAAAAAAAAACTTCTTCCTCATTAATATGGGAAGACGCAGCAAGTGAAGTGATGCAAGGATGATGTGACCAACAGAACTTGACATCAGTGTGATTAGGCAGATTGTGGCTAAGATGCCTGTTATGCAGACCCTCAACATTTGTCTTTAGGGCCTAGTGCAATGGCTCATACCTTTAATCCCAGAACTTAGGGAGGCCAAGACAGGACAATCACTTGAGGCCAGAAGGTCAAGACTAGCCTGGGCAACAATGAGTCCCCATCTCTACCAAAAAGAAAAGTAAAAAATAGCTGGGTGCAGTGACTTGTACTTACTGCAGTCCTAGCTACTCAGAAGGCTAAGGTGGAAGGATCACTTGAAGCCAGGAGTTTGAGGCTGCAGTGAGCTATGATGGCACCACTATACTCCAGCCCCATGACAGTGTGAGACCCTATCTATTAAAAAGAGAGAGAGAGAGAGATGTTTTTAATCTGTCTAGCCAGAAGACATCATCAACCTAATTAGTCTTCATGAAAATTATATCTTCCAAAGACAGAGAAATGAGAACTGCCCACCTTCCAGTACCTAAGGTCCTGCATAGTCAGATTGCCTTGCCAGACTTTATGCCACAGAAATGCCATGAAACCATGCTGCCAGGAAAGCAGGACAGTGTCCATCTCTTAGCAGAGTCTGGATGGTGTGGAAAGCATCACTCACATTCTCACATTCAGTAGTATGGCACTGTCCTGCAGGTCAGCAGTAGAAGATAGGTGCTGTGTGACCAATAGATTGCTCAAACTAACCCAGGTTCATTGTTTCCAGGCCACAGTTGAGTCCTGGGTCAAAGACAAGATGCCAAAGAAATCTGGTCGCTGGTGGTTTTGGCGTAAGAGAGAAAGCATGACAAAACAGGTAAGAGACGTGGAGGTAGTTGTTTCCAGAGACTAAAAGAAGTGAATTTTTCATTTATTCAAAAAACATTTTTTACCAAGCACAAAAAAGTGGGCTATAAAGTGCTATTTTACCATGATGACAGTTACCATTTTTGAGCAGCCACTCTGTGCAGGTGTTTTATGTACATTACCTCTAGCCTTCACCACAGCTGAGCACTAGAGGTATTTGAATTGCCATTTTACAGGTAAGGAAACTTGAGCACAAAGGTGAGGGATGGAGCTGGTCTTGACCTTGAGTCTGACTCCACAGCCTGTGCTCTTTCCCCTTCACTGCATTACCTTTTAAATACAAGCCAAAGGTTATTCTCCTGCACAGTTCCAGAACCTGCTCTAAATCAAGTTCATTCAGAGACCCATACGAATGAACAGTAGATCAGACCTTCACTTCCCAGGATCTTCTGAAAACAAAGATTTGGGGAATTTCACCTGTTCAAATGTTAGAAAAGTAGTTAGCTGAGCTAAGTTTGTGTCCATGTCAGCATGGGGGCTGCCTTCTAGTACCTTCTGCACATGCTAAGCTCCTCCCAGGAGGAGAAGGAAGCATCAGTTACATCTACTCTGCAGACACCTGGCGGTATCTCTGCCAGGGACCCAACAAGTTTGGGCCAGTTATATTTTGTGACTTGATTTGGGGCTCTTTGAAATTCTATTATTTTATTTTTGGTTCTATAGGGACACTGATTTCTGTAGCAGCACTTGACTTCTTTCTTACCTTTCTTTTCTTTGGCTCCCAGTAAAGTAAGTCTGGCTTTGGGGCCTTTTTAAGTTGTGACTTCAAAAAGCACTTGTGCTCTTTCCTAGAAACAGCTGCTGATTAATTCTGACTTATCTGTAGGGAAAAACTTGCACACTGCCATTATCATGTCTCTGTTTTAGCTGCCAGAAGCCAAGGAGGGAAAATCTGAGGCACCACCAACCAGTGATCTGCCATCAAGCGTGAAGGAGCCGGCCAGTGCCAGGTGGGTGCTCTGTCTTTCTTTCCTACTCACAGTGCTTTGACCATTACGTCTAAGTTGATCTTGGCAGTTTGTTTAATTCTTAGAAATGTCTTCTCCTTTAGATAGGACATTTTGTGGCATGTTTATTTCTAAAAAATATTATCAGGTTAAGCCAGGCTCATGCCTATAATTCCAGCGTTTTGGGAGGCCACAAGGTAGAAGGATTGCGTGAGCCTAGGAGTTTGACACCAGCCTAGGCAACATAGTGAGACCTTATCTTTACAAAAAGTTAGCCAGGTATGATGGCAGGCACCTGTAGTCCTAGCTACTTACTCAGGAGGCTGAGGCAGAGGGATCACCTGAGCCCAGGATGTCAGGGCTATGGTGAGCCATGATTGTGCCACTGTACAGTCTGGGCAACACAGTGAGACCTTGACTCAAAACAAAAACAACAACAAAAAACACTTATCAACTTAGAAGAATAAACACATTCATTCCTGCTTTCTAAATACCTTGCACCCTTAAGGAGCCAGGGAACAGCAGGATTTTAGAAAAGGGACAAGAAGAATGTTGAAGGATGTTCCCAGTGCCTCTGCTTCCTGTCAGGTGTAAAAGAGAGACAAAAAAAAAAGAATCTGATGGTTTGGGTGCATTTCATTTCCTGGAAGAAATGATAGGTACCTTTGGATATTTGAGCTGGTCAACCCTGGAGGAGTGGCTCACAATATGCCTCATTCTTTTTTTTTTTTGGAGTTGGAGTCTCACTCTGTCGCCCAGACTGGAGTGCAGTGGCCGCTCCCGGCCACCGCAGCCTCGACCTGCTGGGCTCTGGCGATCCTTCTGCCTCAGCCTTCCAAGTAGCTGGAACTACAGGCGCGTGCTACCACACCCGGG